ACCCATCCATCCATCCCACCCATCCATCCATCCATCCATCCGCCTGCCTGCCTGCCTCCCTGCCTGCCTGATCTTCTATCTTTCGATTTAACACCACCCCACCCCTCCGATTCCTTCGTATCCCTAGAGCAGTATTCTTGTGGGTATCGGACTTGAACCATTCTACCTTACTCTTTTCACGTAAGTTGATCCACTGCTCCTTTTTCGGATTTTGGAGTATCTTTATAGATATCTTTATCAAGGATCCATCTTTTGGAGCCTAATTTCTTTATTAAACTTATAAATAGCTGGAACATGCATTTGAGAGAGGTAGCAATGTAGGACAATCTTCACAAAAAAATATTTCTCTTTGCGGTTTTCTCAGAATTGTTTATCTGACCAGGTTGCATTGCAACACTATTTTGAGTAGGTCTCAGAAAGTTACAGTCAGAATTTATTCGAATTTGCGCTCAATCTTTCCTGTCGTGTGTGTGTGAGAGGGAGAGAGAGAGAGAGAGAGAGAGAGAGAGAGAGAGAGAGAGAGAGAGAGAGAGGAGGGAGGTGACATACTTTGCTGAATTTTTTATCGAAACAGATTTCTCCATGATCGATTTTTTCACCGTCCTTTACTTTTCTCTCGTTTCAGGTCAAAACGATGGGCAACCTACCTATCCCAGACTGGCTAGAATTCGACTCAAAAGAAAACGTCCTTCAAGGCATTCCCACCCCAAAACACGCCGGCCAGTCTTTCTTGGAGGTCACCGCCAGAGGCCCCACCGGCGAGGCGACGACCACCTTCTCCCTGTTCGTCCGTGATGTCCCCTCGCACACCTCTGGTGCCCCGCTCAAGTTCAAGAAGTCTGGCCCGGAGTTCGTGCGCTGTAAGCGAGAAGAGCCCGAGACGGTGGCGACCATCATTCTCGACACGGATATTGAGCAGATGATGCCCTCAGACCGCCTCGCGCTCCTGAAGAGATTCCTGGGTCACATGGAGCTCCACGAGGATATGGTGAAGGTCCTACCTGTTGGACAGTCGTCCATGCATGACGGCTCAGCTCTCGTGTCTGGCACAGGTGACTGCACATCTCCCAAAACATCCGGAACCTTCATGTCCTGGCCGGTAGGTTGTGGTCAGGTCAAGACAGGCCACTTCACCATTCTACAGCGACTGGATGATGACTCCGGAAGTGGGCGTATGGCTGAGATGCTCAAGTGCCCCATCATTGGTTGGCACGTGACCAACAGCCACATCCAGGCGCCCAAGAGGAAGAGGAGACAGGCCCTGGCCACCGCAACCCCCGTCATGACCCCTGTCATGCCCACAAAGACGGAGAAAGCTGATGATAAGACTGACGACGAGGGCGAGAAGATGACGTGGACAGTGGTGGAGATGGCTACACCGTCCATGATCCAGCCCACTGCCACCCAGCCCGAGATGACCAAGACAGAGGACCCAATGGTTGTGGAGCCACCAGTCAAAGAAGAGGATGAGAAGCCCATCAAACCCACAGAAAGAATCCCTCCCGAGACGAAACCAGAAGTGACCCCAGCCATCAAACCAACCTTGACCTACACAGATGGTGACCCCACTGACCCTGTAGTGGTGGACACATGCATCCCAGGTCAAAGGCCTGAGACAAAGAACACATTTGCCCGTCTCACGTACCATGTTGGTGACGTCATTGATTTCCTCATCCCCGAAGACGCGTTTGTGGACTGTGAGGTTGGCAACACGCGCGGTTTGGAGCTGATGCTGTTCCAAGACACGTCCAAAACCCTCCCAACCAACTTCTTCATCCAACTGGACAAACAGGGGCAGAGAATTATCGGACTCCCCATGGCCTCAGACATTGGTCGTTACAAGCTGAACTTGCTGGGTAAGAAGAAAGGCACGGCCCTCATCAACAACTTCGACTTCACGCTGGTCATCCGTCAGATGAAGGGCAAGAAGAAGATCAACCACGAGCTGAGTGTGACTGTGGACTTTGACTACCAGCAGTTTATGTCTAGCGTGGAGAACCGCACTCGTCTGGCCAGCAATATCGCCAGTGTCTACGGAGACTCGGATGCCAGCAATCTTGTGGTGACCACTTTAGAGTCTGGTTCTGTGATTTATGGCTGGGCCAACAAGACCTTGACATCTAATGGGTGTCCAGTGGGTGCTATCTCTGATCTCGTCGGCAAACTGGTCAAGAAGGATGGGAGTCTGACTGATGAGGCTGTGGAGAAACTCAAACCATTCACCCTCCTGGGGGCAGCTGCGCAGCCAGCCGGAAGCTGTGAGGGAAACCCCAAGTTCCCAGCCCGGGTCAGCAAACCCAAGATGGAGCCCACCACCACCCCTCCCCCCATGACGGACGCTCCTGATGCAGTGACCACCAAGGCACCCATGGTTGATGGAGGTAAAGATGACAAAGACGACGACAGCTCAGAGCCGGTTGAGGTACCAGAACCTGATGATTCTGGGGAGGCAGATACAACAACGCCAAAGAAACCTGACGATGAAGATACTACAGAAGAAACCCTTGTTGGTGGAAAGAAGGGTGATGAGGGTGACGAAGACGACATCTGGATCACCACTGTGGTGCCCGCTGTTGTTATCGTGGTCATCCTCTTGATCGCGCTCCTGATCGCCTGCATCTTGTACCGCAAGAAGAGGAAGGGCAAGATGAACATGGAGGAGCAAAACACTTTCGTCAACAAAGGCGCGCCTGTTATCTTCCCCGACGAGCTGGAGGATAAGCCCAGTGACGTGAACAAACCTCTGCTGGTAGAAGGGAACGCCGGACCTCCGCCCCAGTACCACCGTGGCACTAGCGAGAGTCCTGAGCCAGAGGGAGCCAACAACCACACGGGCCGCAACAACGTCAACTCCGCGCCGAGCGATGATGTCATCCAGGAGTACCCGGAGCGGCCGTACGAGCCACCAGCGCCCCCTGTGACAGGATCATCCAACAACAAGCAGCCCCGACCCACGCACCAACAGCAACCCTTCTCACAGCCTCCACAGATTTTGCCATAAGTTCCGTGCTCTGTAGAATGTAGAAGTGTCACTAGATACTCTGGGACGTCTGTTATGTGAGAGCTTGGTAGTTAAGATGAGGCTGTGGTCTTCACGGTTGCAGACTGGGAATTGTACAAGAGAGTAATGGAGAGCAGTATGATGAGAGAGAGTGTGAGAGAGAGAGAGATAGGCAGAGAGAGAGAGAAAGAGAGAGAAAGAGGGAGAGACTGTGTAACTGATTGAGGAGAATAGAAAGGTTTGAGATGGTTTGTGTGATGAGTGAAGTAAAAAACTTGTGAGTTTGGTTGCTGATTTGTAATGAGTTTGTTTCTGAGCTTGACTCTTTGGCTGAGACATTTCAATAGTTTCATTCTACTCCATTGAACTTTGAACTCACTCTGGGTTTTTTTAATGGTTTCCAGTTGACATGATTTTATCAATTAGTCAATTTAAAAAAAAAGTGCTCTTTAATTGTCGATGGAATATTTTTCCAAATGTATTTCTCCTCTTCTGTGTTATTTCACTCTGAATGGAAGTTTTTTTTTCTTTGTAATTTTTCTCTCAGGTGTGCATACTGTTATGATGAGCAATTCTATGCTTTCCAAAAAGCAGTGATTAGATTTCGCTTTTCCTTCTTCGTTTCTCATTTTTCATATATATGGACTTTGTTTATTATTCGAAATCACAAGTGGGAAGGAGTTGGACAATTTGATCTGCTTTTTAATGTGATGGCTTTTAGAGGAATCCATATTTACCTAATAATAGTTCCGGCGTGATTTTACTTGTTGTGGTTTTAATCTGAATGGACCATACTTCTTCTGCTCATGGCATTTTGTACCTCTCACTAAGTTTTTGGTTTTTGGCACATGTTGCCAATGCATATATATTAAATGTGTATGCCATGTGAATGAAATTATCCAAGCTTTCTTCCAATTGCTGGATTGGGTTTCTGTCACGTTCATCTGAATTTTATCATCTTAGAAATATTTTTAGTCCGTGGGAAGTCTTTCATTTTCATGGAAGCCTAGTCTACAGAGCAGTTATACTATATGACAGAGACAAGGTCATTGAGAGAGAGAATTTTTCATTCATTTTGGATTCACAGTTAGACAAATAAGTTTTCTTTTCAATTTAGATGATGATTTTAAATTAATACTCTGCCTGTTCAGTAACCTAAATTGTGGACTGCAATTAGTAGAACTTGCAACATGACTAACGTGTAATAAGTGTGTTTCTTCAAGCCCATATGCATGGCATCTGGTGTGATGAATGTCCATCAGAGGTGGTGAGGTCCGGTCCTTCAGTACTTTTCACATTCCTCCAGAGAGAACGGAATTAGGAGAGAAACTGTGTGTGCCAGCTGATGACACCAGATAGATCTCAGAAATGGTGCAACTGGGAGGTCGAGATGGACTCTCAGATATGATACAACTGAGAGGTTGAATGGGCTCTCAGATCACGATACAGCTGGAAATATTACAGATATTTTTGTTTTTTGTTAGCTTGGTGTTAACCTTATCAAATTATGTTTTTGAATGAAACTCAAAAAAGACAAAAATTTTATTTTAAAAATACCTTGAGCTGAAGCAAATGTTTTCGATCACAAGTGATGGATTGGTGAAGTTCGGAAGAAAGTTCAGTCAGATAAGGTGTAGATAATGGTTATATGGTGTGAGTTTGACAACCCATCATCATTCACGTAAAAGATCATCCTTGTTGGATTGTTTGTGTACACAGCAGTAGCTGAAATGTGTTTGTATGTGTAAAGCTTTGCTAAGGTTCTATGAAAACCTTTGACTTCACTGTATGATATTGCTGAAACTGAAAGTGGCAGAGTATGCATATTGCAGAGATCCACATTTTTTCACGATAAATTAAAGTAAGGATATTTTTAGCTGAGTTTATTTGAAAAAAGAAAGAAGAGCTTTCAGATTTTTGTCTCATTACTTGACAGCAAACCTCCACTAAAGTTAAAGTATACTCAAACAGCACTGTTGAAGCTTTCAGATTTAGTCCTTCTACTTGAAAACAAGTACATGTATAGAAATGCATAGATATACATCTATAGAAATATGTGTAGACGAAAAACAAAATAGCAACAATATTTGCTGGTTGTGCTATTTCCATCTGGGATATTTCAATAGACACAAAGGTTTATTTTGCGTTTGAGAGTGTGTATGTCATATTGTACTGGACCTGCTCTTGTGTCAATTATTGCTTGTGTACCATATTTATTCCTGTGCTGCTGTTTTGACCTGTATGGACATACATGCTTTGTAAAATGACTGGATTCCTGCAGCCTTCTGTTGAGCTATGCTAACTGTGCCCTGTCTATATCCATGCACTCCATTGGTCCTATTTGTCAGTGTGTATTACGGTTTTACTGTGTATGTTTTTGCTCCTTCTTTGTTTACACAGCAGATACCAGTCTACACTTAGGTGGAATGTGGAACTCCCAATGAAGTACATGTTTTTCCATTACAAGTGAAGGGTTTTTTTTGCTGTCATTTCATCTTTTTTATATATTTCCTTTGCACTTGTTGGCCTTTCAATGTTGACAGTGTTAGCGATGCAAAGGTCATTCCTTCCGCAGATGGCAAAAGTATAGAATCATTACTGGTCATGGAACCAGCCATCCATCCTCCTGTGCTGATTTCTATAAAAAGAATAAAAATAGTATTGAATCAAAGACTAAGAGAGATCATATAGAAATGTCAATTTTATCATGGAACCATGCTTTTGTGTAACATGATACTTTCAGCATCTGCTAGAATTGGCTGTACCGTTATTAATTATATTTGTTATCACAATTTCCATCTTTGATATTGTATTGAAAGTTTCACACAGACAAAAGTGGAGATCAGAGATAACATTGAACATTTATACAGATGACCAAAAGTGAGTGTGAGAGCCCACCATCCGTTTGATGACATACAGACAAGTTGTTTTACTCATATGCCATAAAGTCCACAACACAACTGTGTCGCTTGCACTCTTCCGTGTCTTATTCCTTAACTTACAAACACCTAACAGCTTTTGAGAATAAATGTAATTAAATTTTCATGGGAAAATTAAACAAACTGTTGGTCTCTTAAGAAAGTAACACATAGGTACTTTTGAATATAAATTTAGGTCAACATAGATTTTTAAAATTTCTCATGTGATTTGTGGTAAGCATAAAATGTGTTGCAATGTTAAGCCGTTTCCAAGGCAACCAGTCTGAAATTTAGTTTCTAATGCTTTTTTAGCATCCTTTTCCTCTAGGGCTTTCTATGATGGTTTCAAGGTCTTGTCGTAAACTCAGCACATAGTTCATTCCCTAGGTATTTGTTTCCACTTCTTGTGCCATTAAACTGTCTTTTCTCCTCTGATCCTAAAGATACATGTAGAAAGAAAGACTAAGAGAGAGAAGGTGGAGTTGGGGTGAAGTCAGTGACACCAAAGGTCTTGTGGTGCCATACACAACCAGTTCAATGGTAATCTCATTTTTTTTCCCTTCTCATCAACTCAGAAGCTGGAAATAATACAAGATGTCATAATTATATCCAAATACTTATCTTTTTTTTGAAGAAATAGAAACCAAAAGTGTTGAAACCAGCAATTAGTTGAAGTAAAATTTTCTCTAAATTTTATTGAACACAGAATTATGTACAAATGAAGCTACCATTTTAACATTTCGTTTCTTTCATGCGTAGTAAGCCTGATTAGACTGCTAATGGCCATAGTATAGATATTTAAAAATTTTGCACAATTTTAACTTCCAGTTGTATTATTTCCCAGCTGCATACTTTTATTTCTTCAGCTTTATGAGTTTCTCTTGCAGCTTTCTTTGGCTTGTGGGAGATTTTTCTACTTTTGCTCAGGTGTTATTTATATACAACTCCACACTTTGTTCACAGACTGTTGTCCCGTGTTAGTCTCTGTTTAGAAGAAATTTCTGCTTGTCATAACACTTGGTGTCGAAGATGTGTCAAATATTTTCTTGTGTGGCCAACATGCCCCCTGGTTATGGAAAAGCATTAGGCGTGGATCTTTGTGCTTTTGTCTGTATCTGTTCTGACATATGGCAACTTTGTGTCAGTGGCAACTGCCAACTGCATTGATGTGGATGTCATTGACATGGGATTATTATGTCAATGTCAAGTACAAGTAGTGGCTACATTGGTGCCAATGACATAAAGTTGGCAAAGGTGTTGGCATCAGTGACAACTGTCAACTGTGTAGGTGTTGGTGTCAGTGACATGTGACAGCTGTATAGATGTCAGTGACATTTGACAGCTGTATAGGTGACAATGACTAGTGTCAGCTTTTGTAAGTGTTAATGTTGGTGTCATTGACACTTTGTCAACTGTGTCGGTGTCAATCAGTGATGACGATGTTGGTGTTGGTGTTAAAGGCAATTGGCTATTATGTCAGTTTCATTGGCAACTATCTTAGTGCCAGTGCCAACTGACATCTACATCAGTGCCAATGACAACTGACAAGTACTTGTATTTTCCAAGTGTGTTTGTATCCTAGTCGGGATGAGTTGGGAAACTACGCAGTCAGATCACATTTCACGGCTTTATAAACACATCCTGTACTTTAAAGCATCTCACAGTCTTTTCAAGATGTATTTCAATCTTTGTTTGCTTGTTTGTTTTTTCTGTGTAATCAACAACATGTAAGTTCCATAATATTCAATAATGACAGCCATTACCATTGAGAAAAATAAACACAAGTAGTATTACTGTGGTCTTCATTGCCTTGGATGTCACCGAACACTGGTGCTGTGAAAAACTGTTACATTTTTATTTTCATTTTTTCCCCCCCCCCCTTTTTTTTTTGTTCCGAATAATATTGTTTCTCATTGTTGAAAGAAATTGTGTGATGAACTTTGTTTTTTCATTTTTTTACCCCCACTTGTGTACTACTGTACCTTGATTTCAGCTAATTTGTTGTGAGCTCATTTGTGCGTCTTGTATATCCGTTTCTCTCTTTGATAAGAGCTCATCTTTGTGCCTAGTATTACCGTCTCTCTCTCAATCTCTCCTGTCATTCTAAGGTTACTATGTAGAGTAACCTTATAGTGTATCTGATGAGTCTTTAGTGATATCGTTTGTAGAATCTTTTGCTTTTTTGTCTTGCTGATGTTCATGTAACTATGGGATATTATTTGATTTCTCTTTGCTCGTTGAGAATTTCCTTATAAATCACTTCCATTTTTCGTTGTTGTCAGTGTTTTTTTTAATTTCTTCCATGTTTCTGGCAATTCGTTTTGATTTACGGTCTGGCTGTGTATGGAAGAGTTTGATGAAAGTGTTCTCAAGCAATTAGTTGTGAGTTTTTGTGTTTGGAATTCTTGTCAGTATGGCAGGGAAAATTGGCGCTTTTGGACAATTCTGCGTCAACTGTTGTTTTTGCAGTTTAGTAAGTACAAGTATTTCTGTCGGTAATGCTTTCTCATCCACGTATCTTTTTGGTTGGGAGTGTTGTCCAAAATGAAGAGCTACTTGTTTCGTTTGATAGATCATGAATCAGCATAATGATTTTGTGTGAACTATGCTTCCCAAACCTTCGACATTTAGTTTTTCATTCATGCCTTTTCACTTGGAACACATCTGGATCTACTACAGAATTCAGATATAGTAGGTCAGTTCTTTTAGCCATGAGATGAAAACAATATTTGCTTTGAAGAGTTACTAACCTTACTTAGGTGGTCGTACTTTAGTGTGACAGTTGTGTTTCCTATAGGGCCTATCTTGAACATCCCCTTCCCCCACCATGCCCTTCCACCTCCCCTCTCCCTCCCCCCTCTGACTATACTCTCTGCATAGGCCAACGGCCATTGATGTACAATTGATGCAGTTATTTATTCTCAACTTTACTCCCATGAATGGTTCATTTCAGTTTTGTTGTTTTGCTTTAGAAATTTTTTGGGGTTTTTTTTTCCTTTCTGGAGGAATGGCTCAGAACTAGTCTTGTGGTTTGTGTATGCTGCCGGTTGAGAAAGTTTTAATTTTTTGTTTTTACTTGATTTACTCTACATTGAAAGTTGACTTAGTTGTCAACTCTATCACAGCTTGCATGATTATGAGGATTTCCTTCTGTCACGGCTGTAAAGGATTTTCTTGTTTTGTCATGATGCTCAAATGTTCTCACAGAGAGCATTTATATTAAATTCTTGGTGACTGGTTGGAGGGGATGGGAGTGGGAGTTGGGGGATGTGAGGTAGGGAGTCATGACTTCTAGTTTAAGTTTTAGATTTTCCTGAAGTGTGAGCAGCCACACTTTATGTGGGCACATTTTTAGAATTTGATTGTGTGCTTTTTGTGTGTGTGTGTGTGTGTGTGTGTGTTTGTGTGTGTGTGAGAGAGAGAGAGAGAGAGAGAGAGAAAGTTATAGAGAGAAAAATGTATGAAGCAGACAGATGAGGCGAGATCTGTGTTACGAGAATACGAGAATGGTTTGCTGGTGTATAAATACAAACACTTCTTCCTCTGCCTTATTTATTATCATAACATTGTCGCTGGCTTGACCTACCAAGCTCTAAGTTTTTACATTATTATTATTATTATCGTTGCTGTTGACGTTATTATCATTACTATTATTAATTATATAACTGTTACTGTTATTTTTATCATTATTATTATTATTATTATTATTATTATTACTATTTTAATTATTTTTGTTATTTACACTCACTGTGTTTCCAGTTATGAAAAAGGTTTATTTATCAATTTTGTATTCAACTAGATTTTTATCCTTGACTACATTACACATGGACAAGACTTTTTTGACATTTGTCCTCACATAATGCATGTGTGGAGCATTCTTTGGCCCACACAAGACGTTCTTTGTGTGTGTGTGTGTGTTTGTGTGGGTGTTTATGTTGTTTGTACATTTTTACCGTATACATTGATGAAAGATTTGTTTTGATTTTTTTTTTTGTCAGGGGGGTTTGGCTTGGCTTCTCACTTTTGGACAATTGTTTTTCAAATATGCCTCTCGGTAATATCTGGAGGTATTTGGATAGATCCAAAGTTCTCTCAGAAACAAGATGTTTAGGATGGATTTAGATTAATATTGTAGGAATGGTACAGTTTTTCTCTGGATGTAAAAAAGATTTTTTATCCTTACTTTCCTGAAATCTGCAGTTGTTTTTATTCAAGATTGTGTCATTTACTTGAGGCTTTACCAAATATTTTATTACAGTTGTAATCAATCCATTCTTCCTGTAATTTTATCAGCATTTTGTGGATTTCTGTGAATGCCGAAGATGCAATCCTAGAGTGTGAGTCTCGCTGATGGAAGGAAGGAAGGAAGGAAAGAATATGATTAATTATTGGTATGCGTATCTTTGTACATCATAACCCATCATTAACCATCATACTTTTCCACATCATTTCTGTCATGAGCTGAGGTGCGACCGTTAGCAGATAACACATACTGACCGCAGACATTTCTGAGTGTATCCCGTTTCTCTTTCTCCTCTGAAGTATTCATGTTTGAATATTTTTTATTTTGGAAAATTATGTGCAAAACCCTTCGGTTTGTCTTCACGTTATGTACAGTCAGAGGCAGTGTTTTGGTGGATTGACCAGAAGTTTTTTTTTTACTTTAGAAGTAAAATTAATTCTCCGTGATGTTGTTGTACAAGGAAAATGTTAAGAGACAGGTCAGAATGTCAAGGTAATTCCCAAGTTTTATACTTCTTTGTCAAGTGTTAGCATTCAACACAAAGTTAGTCAATGGTGTGTCTCGTTCAGGAGTTTCATTGAATTAAATTATTTGACTCTTAAATAGGAAAGTTTGTTGTTATCTGCTAGAGGTGTCAGCTCAGTCAATAGTTTTTTAAAAGTAATGATCATGCTTGGGCATACTATTGTTATCGTTTTTCTCGTCGTTGTTGTTGTTGTTGTCGTTGTCGTTGTCGTTGTGATTGTTGTTGTGACGTACCTAACCGTGAATGTTTCCGTCTTGAAGTCTTTATGCTGAGCGGACAAGCCATACTATACCAATTGAATTGACCGTACTTTTGTATAGCTAAGCATTGTTATAACGATGTATGATACTGACGTGTAGCCCGATCCATTAAAAACAAAACTTGTACTGTCCACATACAACTGTTTTGTATTTTTTAAAAATAATTTTGTTTTGTATGAGTGTATTGTTCTCTTTCAGCATCCTGCTGGCTCTTAAAAATTGTACATGTAATTGTAAATATTTTTACTGCCCCTCTGAAAAAATTTGGGTCATCTGCCTGTCAGAGCGAAACTGGGCTGAGGGGGATACAACATTCCTGGAGACACATGGACAACAGAGTTGAATAACCAGCTCCCAGTGAGGGAATTGAACTTACATCTTCTGCACACAATTGCTAAGGGCTCAGTTTTTACACCACAGACACTTGTCTGCTAACTCTGTTCGGACTCTTTCCACAGCCTGTCTACTGCTTCTCCTTGGCTCCATCTTACTGCTGTCTTTCAGCCACACCCCTGATTTTATAGTAGTTAATGTCAACACCTATAGCCTTTTCGGACAATGGCGAAAAATTTCGTCAGGCCTGTGTGCAAGTTGCGCACGTTAAAGATCCCTTGGTGGTCCAAAATCGACAAGAGTGGGCCTCGGTCGCCACGGGTTCAAAATTCAAAATTTCCTACTAACACTAACTGAAAAAGAAAATGTTTGGCGTGTCCCGTGCTCTCATATAACCTTATGCAGTTGCATGCGCCGTAAAACACCCCCCTCCCCCCCAAAAAAAAACTCTGCTCGTGTTGTGCTGCATTTCCATTTTGTTGACCCTAGTTCTAACGCCCAGTTGGGTGGAAAAAGGGGTGGAGCGGGTTATGGGGGGGGGGGTGTTCTTGAATGTGAATCGTTTCTGGAGTTTTTGTAGCTTCGCCCACACGGCTTGTCTCTCTTAATTATGGATGGGTGTTGAACTACAATGTTTGCTTAAAATTTGGGAGATTAATCAATGAAGCAGGCAGCTTCAACTCTGATGATCAGATCAGGGTCAACTGCCCAGGCTGTGGGATACAACAAATCCTGCTGACAGACGAAAGTACTCAACATAATAACGTTCCGGCCCAGATTCGAACTTGAATCTCTTTTGCGGGTACCTGCGAGGAAACTAACCTTTAGTCTTCAATACAGACTCAATTTTTAGGTACTCGTCTGCTAAATAAATGTTGGCCTACCCCTCTTTGATCTCTCTTGGGGCGAACTACTTCGACCATGTGTGTCAGGATCACTCCAGGCAGAGAAGTACATGTATTCAACATCCCAGCAGGAAGACGGAGATGCTCGATAACGGAATTCAATTCTCCCCATTGTAACTCACATCTTCTGATTGCGATGGTGAAGTGCCTGGCCGCTACAGTATTACTACACAACTGGAGTTTAACCTGCGTACAAAATTCTGAGTTTGACAAAGTTATAAAAATATAATTTTACTTTAAGATAATAATTAAATAATCCTTATTTGTTTCTGTACTAAAAGGGAAAGCATTTGGATATATGTGAGGCAGCGTGGTGGAATCAGGCTCTCGTAAATTTTAGGCATGTAGAGTTATTGGTATCATCTTAAAGCTTGTTCACTTCTCTTTATTTGAATGGAAAAAGTATCCCTTTATCTTAAATACAAGTCGAGATATTTGCGAATGAAGGAGGCGGGGGTCACATGTTTTAACAGGTAAAATGAAGGAGAAAATGGCCACCAAAGATTAGTTATTTCCTTAGCTTTAGAGTCCGTTGTAATTGAAAATTTACTTTTTTGTGCCTTTAATGAACGTTTTTATGAAAAATCCACACAGAAAAGAGTTCTTTAATGGGCATGAAAAGTGTTGAGCCAAAAAACAAAATTTTAATTAAAATTCACAAACCTGCGGAAAAATGCAGGTTTCTTCACTTTGATTATTTTGACGAGAGCCTGATTCCACCACATTGCCTCACATATTATAATAGTAGGTTACTGTGTATTTCCAGCCGCTGTGTCGATTGGAGAAGAAACAAGCAAACAAACAAAACCAGCAACATGACAACAATAACAACAACAACAACAACAACGACAACAGCAGCAACAACAACTATAATCTCAACTAAAAACATAATAACAACGAATGCAACAATCGAACTGGCTGGCTGTACCACAAAGAACCCACATAACCTTTGCTGTCACTTATTTCACACTCGCCCCCCCCCCCTTCCGGCCCTCTCATTCTCTCTCTTTATTAGTCTTTCTATCTACAAGCACTATCGGGGGGGGGGGGGGGGGGACAGGCGCAAGAGGCTGGAAACAAAAACCGAGGGAATTAACTACCATGTTAAGTCTCTGAAAAAACCTAGGGGTCAGCCATCATAGAAAGTGTTAGGGGAATAGAATGAAAAAAACCCACCCAGAAACAAGTACTGGAAACTAAATTTCAGGCTGGTCAAATTGGTTACGACTTTATTTTGCAATGCATGCTGTCCATGAACAATAGGACATACCTACATAACAGTGCGATACCCGAGAGAAGAAAGAGGTAGTGATTGATGAGAGAGAGAAAGAGAGAGAGAGAGAGAGAGAGAGAGAGAGAGAGAGAGAGAGAGAGAGAGAGAGAGAGAGAGAGAGAGAGAAACAGACAGACAGACAAACGGACAGGCAGAGAGGGGGGAGGGGGAGAGAGAGAGAGAGAGAGAGAGAGAGAGAGAGAGAGAGAGAGAGAGAGAGAGAGAGAGGGGATAAAGAGACAGACACACAGACAAATACACGGACAGACAGAGAGTGGCAGAGAAAGGAAGAGCAAACTTCTACACATCTGTAACAAAATGTTACCTGCCATTTCACTGCTGTTAGATCCAGCAATTAAGATTGGAATTAATTTTTAGAAAAAATTATACATATTATGCAAAATAGAATACAAAACATCGATAAATAAAAGCATCCCCCTTGTCTTCTCTATAAATCAAATGTTTTGTATTTTTATAATACATGTAGGCCTACATTTACCTGTTGCTTTTATCAACAACCATTAGCTTTTCAGCTCCTTCATAAAACGTCGCATTTAATAAATTTTAATCATGAATTAATGTAGTCGAAGGTTATAGTTTATGGTAGTTCAACAAGTCACTGTTGACAATTATCGTAGACTATCTTGGCGATTGTCTGAAACCACCGACTGAGATTAGTAGAGAACGAAGTGTGATGCTACATTCAGAATACATGTCCATTTTATATTGATTTATTCAATTATTTATTATAGCTAAACTATTTGTATCACAAATAAGCGATATTAGTTAGTTTGAGTTATTTGTTGAACTCTTTCGCTTTCTATTTACATGTAGGCCTATATCACGGAAGAGCTCTCTATCACGGGAAATTCATTTTTAATTATTTTATTTTTGGTTTTGTTTTTGTTCTGTGGTTGCTAGGGTAACCGACGTAGTTTTTCTCGATGTAAGTGAATAAACAACCGTTGTACACTAAGTCTGTGGATGTTTTGCAGAAATTGTATTTGGTAAGCAGGGTCTCCCTAATGTTGGAACAGGAGAATTTGGACTCGGTTGCTGGGAAATGTAAATGGATCTAGTCGGGTCATAATCTATCCCTGTTAAATAAATTATATCGGTACCGGTACAGCTCCAATACTGTCACCCGGAGCGTTTGGGTCTCTCTCTCTCTCTCTCTTTCTCTCGGTGTCACTCACTTTGTCCCTTTCTCTCTGTTAGCCTAATGACTCTTTCTCTCGCCCCCTCTCTCTCCACTCTCTCTCCCTTTCATCCCCCTGCCCTTCTCTGTCTGTCTGTCTGTCTGTCTGTCTGTCTGTCTGTCTGTCTGTCTGTCTTTCTCTCTCTCTCTCTCTCAGTGGCGACCCTCTCTTTGTTTATCCCTCTCCCCATTCTCTCCCCTCTCCATCTGTCTCCCTCCCATCTGACCCCCCCCC